TCTTAAAAGACTTTTTTTCTCAACAGTTTTAGGAAGGCACAAAGATTTCCAGGGTCCTTCCTGTCTCCCACATGTGTCCCACATGTGTCACCATCAGGGCACCCCAAGCAGTACATCTGTAACAATATTTTTTTTCACCATAACACATACAAATCTTGCATCACTAAACAACAGGGTTCCCTCCTAAGAAATCTGCCATGTCACAATTTTGTCAGTGTGTGAACATTCTAAACTTTTCTTACAGAAATCTAGATTCTGCCTCCTAAACATCCAGCCTTTGTGGTACGGCCTATTGCTTCTAGGCTACAAATCTGAAAGCATGCTACTGTGTTAACTACAGAGGGTAATTGTAAAACAATTGTCCTTATAATATCAATAGGCAATATTAATTTCCCAGGTCTATTATAATCTATGGGACTACCAGCATATACCAGGTCCATTGTTGACCAAAATTTGGTGATTCTGTGTTTGACTATGCACAGAAAAGCACCCAGAGAATCTGTATATGGTTCACTAAATTTTCACACACTAATCATATCCTTTTAACTGGCATCCAGGTCAAGAAACAAAACATTAAGAGTCACCCTGCACCTGTGTGGTTTTGTGGTGTAATGGGAGTGGCCTTGGCTCTGAATCCAGCTATGCAACTTCTTGAAATAAAAGATGGTCACTATCTGAACAGATGCTGTTATGCCACCCCCATTCTCCATTCTCCAAAGATAACTAGCCCAGATCTTTCACACAGTAAGAGAGAGAGAGAGACAGAGAGAAACAAGAACGACCTTACTCCAGATCAGAGAGGCAACAGGGGCCAAGTGACAAACAGCCAGGAACTTAGTCCATCTACACTGTATCCCAAAAGCCAACCTGGAAAAGTAGAGGAGACAGGGGAAATTAAAGGGTTTTATTTAGTGCTAAAAACACACATGCAGTTTCAACCCGGGCTTTTTATATCAATTGAAGCTGTTCCCTGTTCATTCAAAACCGGAGAGACTTCTAGATGTTGAAAGCCATCTAACTGCATTTCCTGGTTTTTCTCTAAAAATTCCCTAACTGGCATGTGCTTGGAATTACTTGGTAGCATCGTGGCTTGATTCCATTTCTCAGAGGGATTAACAAAGAGTGTGGCTCCCCAGAGTTCACTAGGAAATGGTCCCTAAACCTGTCTACACTCCAGAACCCTGGAGACTCACTCACCAAAGCAACACGAGGTTGAGGTTTGATGCAGAAGTTAGGCTGTCACTGGAGAGGCCTCTAAACCAGATGGGAGTCTCTGGGCTCAAGTTACATTTCTGCTTCCTCTCCAGTGTCCTGTTGCTACAGACCTTGAGCATAACAGGTGACGGCTGGAGTACTTGAGTCCCTGTCGTTCATATGAGAAATTCAGGGTGAGATCCTGGCTCTGGGCTTCAGTCTGGCTCAGCCCCGACTTGTGGGCGTTGGGGGTGAGAACTAGCAAATGGAAAATCAATCTCTCTCAATCTCTTTATCATTCCAAAAAAAATTTAAACATAAAAATATGTTGAAAAAAATATAATGATTGCCAGGGCCTGACTTCATATCTCCAGTAAGTAGCTTCTCCTGGATGGGACAGCACTGGGAGAAGGATTATAGCATCTGATGGTCTTTTACAGGCAAGCCTAGAGCTGCAGGTGCAGTTCTGCTGGCCCTGCCAAAATGTGTTCCTGGCCAGACCTGAGAGGACTGTGGCTCTAGCCCGTTGTATGCTGGAAGCTGAAGCCTTCGGAAGCTGCATTTTAGAGGAATGCAGGCAGGGGTCATAAGGAGAATGGAGTCGGGTCTTCATGCAGGGCCAGAAAAGCAGAAACCAAGAAGGTAGATGCAGAGGAGATATAATGAAAGTAGAGGCGTGGGCAGAGCCTGGAGTTATCACGAAGTTACAGGGCAGACACTCAGAAGCAAGGATTTCCCAGGAGCTTTCTAAGAAGAAAGAATCACAACTCCATCGACTGAGAATTCTTACCTGTCCCTCCGTGGAGCCAAGACCTGACCATACCTCCCTGTTATGATTCAACTATCGGGCCTGGCATGATGGTCTATAGGTTAAAGTCCTCGCCTTGCAGGTGCCAGGATTCTATAAGGGCACTGGTTCATGTCCCATATGCTCCACTTTCCATCCAGCTCCCTGCTTGTGGCCTGGGAAAGCAGCAGAGGATGGCCCAAAGCCTTGGGACCCTGTACCTGCATGGGAGACAAGGAAGAAGCTCCTGGCTCCTGGCTCTTGGCTCCTGGCTTCAGATTGTCTCAGCTCTGGCCATTGTGGCCGCTTGGGGAATGGAAGATCTTTCTCTGTCTCTCCTCTCTGTGAATCTGCCTTTACAATTAAAAAAAAAAATCCTAAAAAAAAAAAAAAAGAAAGACGCTTTTAAAAAAAGACTCAACTATCAACTTACAGAAAATGCACAAGATGGAAGAGTATGGGGTAGAGGTGGGTGTGTTTGCATTGTGGGAAATTCTTATAAGTGATGGGATGTTTGTAATTGCAAAAAGGGGAAGGGCAAGGGTAAAGAATGGTGGGAGAGCTGCCAAGAGATTTAAAGGACAAATATCAGTTACAGTGTGTGGATATACTTGATTCATGGTACACTGAACTATCAAGACAATAGAAAAGAAAAAGAATGTAGAATAATCACGAGACAATTGGAATTCAAGGAGTTATTTAAGGATGAGCAAGAATATAGTTTAAATGTTTAGGTGTCATAAATATATCATCATTTTCTTTTAAAAAGACTCCTAATCTTTCAGAACATGGGAGGATCGCCTACAAGACTTGCTGAAACAGATGACTGGGCTATACCCCCAGAGCTTCCTATTCAAAAGGACTTAATTAGAACCCAAGAACTCCCATTTCTAACAAGTGTTCAGGTGACTGGAGTGGTCCAGCTCAGGGGATCACAGACTAGCAATTGTGATTTCAGATCCCTGTTTTGAAAGATGAGTGATGAAATGAAAGTATCATAAAATGAAATTCATAAGGAAATACAAAGGATCTCTATAAGCCAAGAACCACCTTTAAAAGGAAGAACAAAGTTGAAGGAGGAACACTATCTGACTTCAAGAAAGCTTTAGTAATCCAGAGTATGTTCCTGGTGCAAAAACAGACTAATGATATGGGGAAAGGGCCAACTATCAGGCTTATTTCCAAACTTCATTAGTAAATAAGTTTGTGGGGGGAACCAAGAACACGTGCTCCCCTTGTAAATGGAAATAGGAGGAATTACAGATTCCCAACACCTTTAACCAAAGCCTACTGCACTGAACACACTACAGACTTCCCGTTCTCTAGCATGACCAACGAATGCCCTCACTTGCCACAACACTGAAATGTGTGACAGCAGTCTTCCACTCGTGGGCCTTTCCTATTCTCACCTCCTTGGAAATGGGAGGAGGAGTCCACAGAACCAAGGGCAGACGCTGGAAGGGTAGGGGCTGGATGATCACATGGGTAAATGCTTTCTTTTCTTCCTTGACTGATGATGAGAATGAATGTTTATTCTATTCTTTCTCACATAACATAGGGAGAGACTTCCTTCGAACAGTGATTCCCAAGCTTGCCATCCCCTTAGGATCACCTAACGCCTGATGCCCGTGTTCCACCTCCACAGACTGTGATTTCATTGTGCTGGTGTGGGCACAGGATTCCCAATGGATTCTAATATGCAATCTAGTTTGAAAGCCATTGACCCAGAGAAATATTTCTGGCCTTGTTAACTTCTCTGAATAGGGAGTTTAGGAGATCAAACAGGGCATGCATAGCTCAGATCCTTCCGGGTTCTCTGTGAGGGATAAGCTTGCAGGGCCTACCCATTCGGTCCTGTGACTGGGGAGCATGTGTTTAGTACCACCAGGCCTTGGGCATTGGGAGGCCAAGGTCAGGTGAGAGCTGTGGTTGTCCAGGCCTGACCATGACAAGGTAAGCATGTCTAATTTGAGTAAGGGGAAATCTCCAGAAGTCTACTTAGCTAATAAACCAAAGGCCATGTTCACCTAAGCATTTACCCATCCAAAATTTTAGTTGAAAAATATTCTAAGCCTATAGAAACGTTTAAGGAACCATCCAATGGGACCTATTTATTCTTCCATCTATATTCATCAATTGTTAAGATTTTGGTCAATTTGCTTCCCTACTTCACATACACGCAACACTGAATCTACTTAACTCAGTAAGTATCTCCCAAGAACAATACCATGTTATATGTGCAATTCTAACATTCATAGAGCAATATTATCTAATATATGGTCCACATTTAAATTTTTCCAATATCATTACACCTAGTTTTAAAAAGATTTATTTTATTTTCATATAAAAGAGTTTCAGAGAAAAAGAGACATGAAAAGAGAGGCCTTGCATCCATTAATTCACTCCCCAAATGATAGCAATGGCAGGGGCTGGGCCAACCTGAAGCCAGGAGCATCTTCTGGGTCTCCCACATGGTTGCAGGGGCCCAAGGACTTGAGGTGTCCTCCACTGCTTTCCCGGACCATAAATAGGGACCTGGATCAAAAGTGGAGCAGCCAGATCTTTAACTGGCACCTATACAGGATGCCAGCACTACAGACTGTAGCTTAGCCTACCATGCCATGGTATAGCCCTACCTACTACATTCTTAACAGGCAATCTTTCATAAAGAGGAACTTTAATCTTCTCCCCTCCGCTGCCTGGTTGTTTTGTTTGTTTGTTTTTAAGAAAAATTACATACTAATATTTATGGGAGGCAGAAAGAAAATTTCCATCAATTAGATCACTCCCCAAATACCTATAACAGCTGGGGTTGGGCAGTGTGAAAGCCAGGAGCCAAACACTCAATCCACACCTTCCATGTAGGAAACAGGCACCCAACTAACTCCCACAGTCACCACTGCCTGCTGGGGTCTGCTAGAGGCAGAAGCCAGAACCACATATTGGACCCAAGCACTCCTAAATGGGACACATTTATGCTAACCAGCATCTTAAGAACTAGACCAAATATCTCTCTTACCTGCTTTTTGAGTTTCATTGTGGACTCATGAATTCTTTGTTTTAATTATGACATATTTTTGAAGATTATTTGAAGGGCAGAGTTGAGTGAGAGAGAGAGAGAGAGAGAGAGAGAGAAAGAGAGAGAAAGAGAATCTTATATTCTTACATTCACTGGCTCACTCTGGCCACATCAGCCCAACCCCTGATAAAACCTGAAGCCTGGGACTCCATCCAGGTCTGCCACACAGGTAGCAGGGGCCCAAATACTTGGACCATCTTCTGCTGCTTGCCCTGATTCATTAGTGGAGAGGTGGATCAGAAGTAGAGCAGGTGGAACTCCAACTGGCATGCATAGGAGATGCCTAAACCACAGTGCCACAACACTGGTCCCTGAGTCACATCTTCATTTCTACTATTACAGAGCTTCAAGCTCCTCTTGCTGGACTCAAATGTTTCTCTCCAGGGCTCTCTGTTCCTTTTACTAGAAAATGGTATTTATTTCTCCTCCGGTTTCTTTTCAGTGGGAACAGTGAAGTTCTTATCTCTACTGACCTAGCTCCTGCATCTGAGTCCTTTACCAACTAGGACAGGTGAAAAAAAAGGCCTTGTGTTATTGATCCTCCTATTCCATGATATCCGGTCCAGTCTGAACACAAAAGACAAGCACACCTTCTGTTTGCATTTCTGTATTGACTGGGCAAATAGCCTTTGGATGTTTACTCTGTGCAAGGCCATGTTAGGCACAGCCAACAGAATTTTACGCCAGATAGGCACATTCCTGGCCATCCCGGATGTTACAGTTTTGGATAACAGTCCGGGCGTCCTCCAAAGACCTGTGTCTCCCGGGTGTGTCTCCCAAAGTCTTATGTTATTTGTTAATAAATTAAGAGCAGATGTGATCGAATGATGGGCCCAGTGGCAAGCCTTTAAGTCGCTGGTGGCTTGCCCTTGCAAGGGGGGCTCTCCAGGGATGGTCACTTACTTATCTGAAGTTCGGGTTCACTTCCTACTCTTTTCACCCTGTAATCATGCCTCCCCTTCCTCCAGCCTCTCCAGAGACATAAACCAGACTATCCAGTCTTGGACTGTCATGAACCCCCAAACCTAAGTATAAATAAACCTCTTCCTTCCTACAAAACTTCTCCCAGACATTTTAGTTCAAGTAACCGAAAGTTGACTGGTATAATAAAGCCTACAGTCTTCACGGGGGAAGAGGGGAGCAAATGTAAATCAGGTGATCATGCAAGTATTTCATTAAATGTCTAAATACAGGAACAGGTGTCCTGGCACAGTGGGTTAAGCCACCTCTTGGGATGCTCACAGCTCACATCAGAGTGCCAATTGGAGTCCCAGCTACTTAACTTCCAATCTGGCTCCTGGCTAACGTGCCTGGGAAGTGGCAAATGCTGATTCAATTCCCCAAATACCTGCCACTCACGTGGAAGACCAAGATGGAGTTTCTGGTTCCTGGTTTCTGGTAGGACCCAGCCCCAGGAGGCGCAGTGGGTGTTGGAGGAACAAACCAACAGATGAAAAATATCTCTTGTCTTTCTATCATGCTGCCTTTCAAATAGACAGATATTTCCTAATAATTAAATAAAAATCAGCACATTGAATTCTAGGAATGTAACAAGGAAACTGGTATACTCTGGGTAGCTGAGAAGCGACCTCCCTAAAAAAAAAAAACAAGTGAGATTTAACACCTAAAAAAATGGGTAGACTTCATTCAGACCAGGAGTAAGGAGTTGACGTGCCTGCTGGGAGCTTAGGAATCGGAGGGGGATGTGTGGAAGAAGGTTGTCAGACGCAGGCAGAGGGAGAAACCTGGAACCAAAAGAATGTGGAAGGTTTTCTGCAGCAACTGCAGTTGAAAAGCTGGGCACACACTGTCTCTATAGGGCCTGGAAGCCAGGCTCATGGGTCTAGTCTTTATTTTCAATAGTGTAAGCGAAAGCCAGGAAAACGGATTTAAGCAGGAGTGAGGCATACTTAGAACTCAACTTTAAAAAAATATTTCTCTTTTCCTTCTTTCCTTCTCTTCCTCCTTCCTTTCTCTGTTTTTTATTTGTTTTTTAAGATCTCTATTTTAAAAGGTTATTGGCTGCTGGAAAAGCTCGCCTGGGGCGGGAGTGCAGCTCAGCATTCCAGCCAGAAGGCTCGGTGCAGCAGGCAGCACCAAGAGAGCTGCCAAGCAGCTGCTCTCGGGTGGTACCTTTGAAATGTCACTGTCACTTCCTGTCCCTGAGCAAGCACACACCCAGCCTGCAGCCACAGACCAGGGAGTCTGGTGCAAGCGCTTTCCCCAAGTACTTCTTCCCAGCCCTCATGCTCTCAGTTCCCTCCTTATCTGACTGGTCGGGAAGCACAAAAACGACATTGACCCTGGCAGGGAGTATTTAGGAACACAAAGCCAGGAAACAGACTTCAGAAAGGGCTTTCCCGGAAGTAAAGAAGAAGAGTCTCAATTGGAAATGTATTTGCATCTTTGTGGGGACGGGCAAAGGATGACTTAGAGGAAGGGGTGGTGGGCGTGCACAAGACAATCTCCCCCTGCCCGTCCACCTGTTCTCTCCCAGCCCTGAAAATGGGAGAGCAGTGGCACTGGGTACAGTCGGGAGACGTAATGTGTGACACACGGAGAATGTCAGCAATCACAGCTGAGAAGAAGGGAGAGCAGAGAGGAACAGAAAAGATTCTTTGAAAGCATGTACAGCCCTTCGGCTGTGTTAAAGAGTCCTATCAGACACCCTAAGCCCACAGCTTTCCAACGCCTTTTCCAAGGCTAACGGAACTCTGACATCAAATCTGCCAAGGCAACCAGGTAGCATCAAGGTTTTCATCCTAACCACACCTGTTCAGTAGTGAATGCTGAGTGCACAGAGCCTGTTGTGCAGCTCTCTCCAGAACACTATTCATCTGGCAAAACTGAAAGTCTGTCCCCAGGAAACAACACATCCCCACCCATCCTCCCCTGCCCCTCCCCTGGCCCTGACAGCCACAATCCTGGTTTCTGTCACCATGAATTTGACTATGCTAAGTACTCCATAGAAGCGAAGTCCGTGTTCCTTGGGGACTGGCTTATGTCACTTTGGAATAACGTCCTCAAGCTTCATTCGTGCTGTAGCAGGTGTCGGAATGCTATTCCTTTTTAAGGGTGAATTCTGTTCTGCTGCATGTATATAGATCTCCATTTGCTTATCTGCTTAACTGTTGTTGATGGATGTCTGACTGCTCCTGTTAGGTAGGCGGATAGAAATTTGCCTGTGTGTGGTAAAGGGGTTCATAAAAAGCACCTTCAGGGAAGAGCACAGCAGTCTCTGCTTTGCGAGCAGCTCAGGATTGTAAACTACCAAGTCCTGCCCATCCCAGGTTCATTTTATAGGTGAGCCCAGCCTTCCCCTCAAGAAAAGCAACCCAGGAGCATCCTCTTCATCTGGAGTCAGGAGAGCTCACCAGTCTGATGACACTGAGCAATAAAACCTTAGGAGGCATTTCACCAGGAAGGTAACTGTTTGCTCAGAAGAATGTAGGTTTGAGGAGGAGGAGAAACATTGAGATGAAATAGATCCTACACCCTTATTCATTCCAATTTCAGTACATGTGCCGCTGAAGCAAGCATCTACACCCTTATTCAAAACAAAGCAAAAAGTGGCGCAAGTGCTGTCCCCTCCCCGCCCTGCCTTTCTAGGTCTCTCCCACTCTCAGTTCCCCGAGAGGTACCACCCATCCTTTCTGAATGGTGAGCCTCAGCAAGCCCTGCTCCCTTACTTACCACTTTAGTCTTACATCTGAAAATTTTTTTCTTATGGAAAGACAAGAATCTCAATTCCAGTCGGCTCCAGGAACACTTCCACCTGTTGACAATTACAAATCACGATGCTGTGGATGTGCAGATCTCCTCCAGAATCAGTTTTCAAGTCTTTTCAGATATCTGCCCAAACATGAACTTGCTAGATCACATACAAGGTGATTTGATTTTTAGTCCTTCGATGGTCCATCATATTGTTTCCCATAAAGACTGCACCATTTTACAAATTTCTTTGCAACATCTCCAACACTTGTTAATTTGTTTTGTTTTCTAGTAGTCAATCTAATGAATATGAGTTTATTTTTTCTTTACTATAAAAGATGCTTATTTTGTGTGGATATTAAAGATGTAAAACAAAAACAAAAGAAAAAAAAGACAAGTGTTTTTAGGGACAAGTGGTGGTGAAAGGCCAGGTGTTGGTGTAGCTGGTGATGGCCACATGCCACAATGGAGTGCCTGACTTCAAGACTTGGCTCCACATTCTATGCTAGCTGCTTGCCTAATGTGCACTGGAGTCAGTACATGGTGGCACCAGCATTTGGGTTCCTGTCACCCCAGTGAGAGACCTGGATTGAATATCCAGTTTCTGACTGTGGCCTGGCTCAGGCCCAACTGTTGGTACCACCATCTCAGATGGGCACTGGTTTGTGTCCAGGTTACTCCACTTCTGATTCAGTTCCCTGCTTGTGTGTGGCCTGAGAAAGCAGTAGGCGATAGCCCAAGTCCTTGGGCCTTTGCATTCACATGGGAAACCTAGAAGAAGCTCTTGGCTCTTGGCTTCAAATCAGCTCAGTTCTGGCCATGGTGGACAGCTGGAGAGAGAACCAACAATTAGGAAATTTCTCTTTCTGTCTCACCTCTCTGTAACTCTTTCTAAATTAAAAAAAAAAAAATCTTAACAAGAAAATAAACAAATGGGTCAAAATAGGCACAGGAAGTTTGGAAGGAAGAAATAGAAGTAGTTAAGAAATATGAAAATAGCTAAAAATGCTCATGGAAAATGGAATCAAAAGATAAACTTATTTTTATGCAAAAATGTTTGGAATTCCTGCATAACTTTTCACAGACACATTTTCCACAAAGATCCCTGGATACGGAAGGACTAGCACTGGGTACTGGGGAAACAGGGATGGGAGCCTACTCGGCTCTCTGGCAGTTGTCACAGGGGCAAGGGGGGTCTCGAACTCCTGTTGCAGCGGGGAGGCATCTGCAGGTGCTAACGGTATCCAGAGGCTTCCGTTCTGCTCTGCAGTGACCATGGCCCTGGCTGGTTTTCTATCTAGTACAAGCAAATGGAGGCTGACAG